CAGCCCGATCCGATAACTTAATCAAAAGTTATAACTGATTTTCTGAAAATTTCAATGGGAAAATGGCGGCCGACGGAGTTTTCGAACACATGGGGCTCTATGGCACCAGAAACCGAAAACAGGCAAAAATGGCCTCCATTTTCCCATTGACATTTTCAGAAAATAACTTATTACTTTTGATTAATTTATCGGATCGGGCTGAAACTTTGGTATATGGCTGTGACCTCTGGCTCTACCTTTGGGCGAAGAATGAGCGTTCGGCGATGCCTAGTTTATTTTTGCGGTAAAAACGACCGCGTAAATTTTCTTTTGTGACACCCTGTATATCATAATTTATTTTATGTGCATTATATTTACTGCTTTTTGGCTCGGGGGAATACAAAGCCCACAAATTTTAAGCAGATACAAATTCTGCAAAAAAAAGTTGTACGTATTACATGCTATAGTGCATACGATACTCGTGACCATTGTTTAAAAAAACTTAATATCGTACAGATTCCGAATTTCTATAATTATAAGCTTTGCATCACCTATAAAAAAGGTCTTTTCATCACAGAGAAAACGTATTTCTGTCTATTTCCCAGATTACAATTAGAGTCCCGATTTATGATACACGCAGCGGAGAAACGTGGTTAGTGCCGCACTCCAGAACAAATTATGGAAATCAGATGTTGCGAAATACTCTTCCCCATGTTTGAAATCGTTTCAGGGAATTAAACATAGAACTTTTGTTTATAGTAAACAAATATTCCTTCATTCTTTTCTTGAGCCTTCGGTGTCAGTGTAGGTGCATGACGTGTGGTGATTTTCGTTTTTCATTGCTTTTTGTTTTATATCAAACGAATAATTACATATGCGTTTTCTTTTTGTGTGTTAACTGTTTTGTGTGCTGTCTCTGCTGCTGCTGAGGGGAGATGGAGACCTGTCAAGCAACTGTTCTGTTGCTTTTTCTCTGTTTTTCCTCTGCAAATGGAGAAAAATATAAAAAAAAAATTGATTTGATTTGATTTGGGTATTCTAGCGGGTTGCGAAGAGCATTGTGGGACGGCGAAAACGATCTACGAAAACACCTTGATAAACACGTCACTCTAGGAACTCGCAGATATCATGTATTCCTACGTGGCACTACCCCCAAAAAGGAAAACCCGCCAGTTTTAACCTATATCGTAATTTAGGCCTTTCAAAACGGCTTTCCACATGCCGGAGGTAGAGTTCATTGTTTAGTATGCGGTATGAGTAGGAACTGACAAGTTCTAATTGCCAACTGAATTGTAGCGAAACGAGTTTCAATCAAGTGCAGGCACATTCCAGTGTCTTTTTTTCTTAGTATTATTTAATTTGGTATGTTAGTTTTGCGTTAAAGTGTCTTATTTCTTTGTTGTTGCGGATATCAATCGAGCATTTCAGGTTGTACGATGGTCACTAAGAGCTTAAGAAATTCAGGGGGTCACTTATCACGTCCAGTGTGCTGGCATTGCGATTCGGTCTCTAGCGTTCTTGTCTCACATGTTAGTTTCGTTTGCTGTGGAGCGACGATAAGAAGAAGAAGCTCTGGGAACTCGCCACGTCCCGCGTTTCTGTAGCTCTCATTGACTATGGCATAGCCTCCTATATACTGACAAAGCATGGCAGATTGCCACGAGATGTGGTTGCCGAAATGAAAAACGTGTAGCGGCAGACAACGGACGAAAGGAGAGCCACGTGACTTGCGCCCCGCTGCGGCGAGACACCGAAACACACTTCTTCCAAGCGAACAAGTGTGTTTCGGGTCCTCGCCGCTGCAAAAGCTGTGCGCTGACGTCCAGGTTCTCCGAGAAATGGCCTTTTGATGCCTCTGTGCTACAAGATCTTCGTGCTCCAAATCTCCGACCGGGAACTCTTTGGCTCTGTCATCCAGCTGTCAGGCTTTGTGAGTAAAGAGGAGGCTATGGTAACATTTACCTCTGACGGCCAGGCGCGCGCGCGGCTTCGAGACGCCGCTGTATGCTATTAGCGGCGAGATGTTTTGGTGGCGCCCTCCTATGGTTCCCCCTTGTGACGTCATTACCTTGCGAACAACAAGTTCGATGGTGTTTGTAAATGGCATGGTGGAAGTCTGAAATCATTGCGCTCTCAAAGCAACACTGCGAACACCGTCGAAATTAAAGTTATTTCAATCCTCTTAATTCCGTCGATGGTATCCCTACTGAAAAAAACCATTTGAAATTCAAACGGGTGGCAAACTGGTCGCCCGTTTGAATCAAACCTGTCGATCCGTTTGGATCAAACGTGATTATGGGATACGGGTACCCGTTTGGAAACGGTACCCGTTCGATACAGGTGCCCGTTTGATACGGGTGCCGTATGGTACGAGTACCCGTTCGACATGGCACGTGACCACACGTTTGAACGTGCCCTTCGAAATGGCAAATTATGCGCTAGCCCTAAATGGGTATCGTCCGGGAGGTTGGTTATCTTAAACATATTTAAGAAGTCCCGAAACTCATAAACGTATTTATAACATGGAGAAAACACGTAGAACAAATGCACTCGCGTAGGTGCTTGTAAGTGGACAGGAAAACCGACACAAAAGATTGTTTTCAATTCTCCTCGAAGTTTATTACCTCTTCTGTAGACAAGTACAAACGTGCAAGCGATCTGTGAACACTATACAGGTAGACTTTCGGGGAAATTATTCTCCTGGCTGCCGCGCGAATAGGCGCTGCATAATTCTTTAGATAATTTAGAAGAGTACGCGTAGAAGAACGGTCAATCGTTGCCAACACGTAGGTTGCAGTGCACTTACCATAACAATAGCGGACTTGAAAGAGGTAATCCGTGATATTTGTCGACACGGTCAAAGCAGGACAAGCACACAAACACAAACGAGAGGGAACGGCTCCTTGGAAGTTTCAACACGATGCGGCGCACAAGCTGCCATTTGCCGAACCCAACCAAACCGCGAGAATTTGCGACTTCTTTGAAGAATCGCTCGTTGCCGACATACACGTGGGTCTTTTCGAACACTGATAGCTTTGGTGCACATCCAATACGTTGTCGAGAGGCGTCCCAATAAGACCGCAGGGTTAGGCGACAGATTGAAGCAGGTAGGACGAGCGAACTTCGAGCAGCAACTGACAACAAGCAGACAAAGAAAAAAGCGGCTGCAAGGCGCGCCCTTCCGGATCTCGATGCTTATCAGCGTGCAGCTCGCGCGCTGCTGTGGGTCACGTGACAGGGGTGACAAGAGAGGAGGGAGGGGGCGAGGTCAAGGCGCTGGGACCACCGGGACAGCCCCTCTCCCTCTCCCCAGGCATTCCAGGGAGATGCGTTTTTGTAGTCCCGAAACACAAACGCGCGCGCGCGCGCGCGCTCGAACTTTGGAAATGGCGGCGGGGCTGCCAGAAGCTCGGCTTGCGCCCGAGCGAAGAAAGAACTCAGCGCAAGCTCGTAGTTTGAGTGCTGCAACGGCGGGCGTGCTCTCGCAATGCTCGATGTTCTTGCAGCCGCGTGTACGCGTGCTACCTTCGCGGCGTCTTGAATTAAAGTGAAACGGAGTCTAGACTTACATTCTTTCTCGCGGTCGCGTCTTCTGCGAGAGAGATTCGAGCTGAATAAGTACATTGAGGCAACAATGATGGACAAAGTATTAAAGGTCTGTCAAAAATATCGGCTCACCAACGTCGCGCGTTTACGTAAAACAACAAAAAAAAGGTGTTAGTTTTAGTTGCCGTATAATCGAAAATCAGCGCAATTGAAATATAAATATAATTACTTGCATTACGCGGACGATCTGAAATCGATGAACCGGCGCTCCCAGCCTTCCGGAACCATTGGCTGCCACGGCTGAAATGCTAGGCGTGCCACGCCGCCGATCTGTACGTTCAATATCAAACGGGCTCCGGAGAGCCGTTTGATTAAACCGGTGCAGTTTGCAACATGGTCGCCGGTTTGAGCAAACGTGCGACAACTTTGCCCAAACGAGTCGCCCATTTGCCCAGACGAGCGACCCGTTTGCCAAATAGGTGACCGTTATGGCTCATACGGGGGACCCCTTTGAGCCATACGGGCGACCCCTTTGACAAACTGGTGACCAGTATGGTTAAACGGTTACCGGTATGGACCCGTTTATTTTCATATGGGCGCCAAATGGTTTTTTTCAGTAGGGATACCCTTTCCGACGTCATAGTCAGCTTTTGGACCAATCGTGGAAGGCCGACCGCAGCGACGCTTTCGGTCGTCGCCAATCGTGCCTTCTGAGCAGAGGCCGGGGAGTGCAGCGTGCAGCTGTGATCCGCCAAATAAAAAGGCGATGAAAACGAGAACATAAAAAATGAAATTTTGCGTGTATATTATTTTGCGTTTTACGCTTTGTGCACACGTTTATAATATTTTCGTCCTAGTCACTTCAGGGAGAGCCGCCGGGCACCGCGCTTGTGTTGCTTAAAACCCATTGATAAAAGCATACACATAAAGGAGTTTCTTTGTTTTTCCGTCAGTCGGTCGGTTTTTGTTCAATCCTATAAACGCTTTAAATGAATGCGCGCTGGATGGCACAGCTAACGCAAACAGGACCACATGGCTTTTTTTTCATGTTACTCAAACGAGACATTCAGGAAAATCAAACATTAGAACTCAACATGATTCCCTGAATAAGCTGTTTCCCAAGCACTGGTAGCTCCGACGACATCATTCACTTTTTACAAAAATACGAAAAAAAAAAAAATCTTGCTTGTTCGGGTTAACGTGGTCGCACAGTGCAGATTTATCGAACTAGATTCTAGATGATTTGTATGGATATTGGCTTCGAAGTACCTTTGCCCAGTTTTGAGCATAAAACCCGTTTTCCTAGAATTTGTACGGCATTAAAACAAGCAGTGCAACCACACTTAACGAGGGTTATGTAATATTCTAAAAGAAATGGAACCATTTGGGTCTGTATGTTCGTATTTTACTAAAAGGAGGTTATAAATACATAACATACAATATCTATCACGAACATCAAGCCTTAAAACGCTCACCCGTGAACGCTCCAAGTGTTTTCTTCCCAGACTGATGTTGCAGAGAGTTCTGAAAAAAAAGGAAAAAACAAAAAAAAAAAACTGTTAATAAACATTAAGTATTTTGATTACCTCAAAAAATTTAGCTAACAAGACATGTTGGACATTGAATTGAACCTGTAATATCTATGCAGTAAGTACGTTAGTGGCTCGTGTGATCAATAAACAACAGGAAGAACATTCAAATAAATATAATTGAAGCATGGAAATAAATTGGATGCACCTCTTTTTAAACATAATTTTTAAATAGAGACGTTCGAATGTCTGAAAGCGAAAGGCGAAAGGTTAACTAGCAGTGACTGTCATTTCTTTGATGCTGGTAGAAAGTTTGACTTGATTTTCAAAGATGGCTTAAGTGTCAGCGTCGCATTTTATTCTCATAATTCGGTGCAATTATTTTTAAGGAAAAAAAAAGGTTCAAGTTGCAGAATCACAATACAAGCCAATTTCTACACGAACCTAAAAAATACAGTGAAAAAAAGTAAGACAGAATAAAAAGGCAAAAACAAAGATAGACACGGAAGCAGAATGGTTGAGTTTTATTGAAGACAAAACTTGATGAAATGAAGCCCACAGACTCGTACATAGGTCTTGTCTCATATTAAAGGAACGTTCACGATTCAGCTGCGGCAATGAACGAGGTAGATGCAAATAGCTTTCGAGTGCCGAATAAGGCGCTGGATGCATTAGATCGATCATTGACCCCGCAGTGACAATAAGAAAACTGGCAGCGAGGCAGGCAGGACGCACGCAAAAAATGACTAACTATTAGCGGGTTGTTTTTCCTAAGAGCAGAGACTGTCGCACTGTGGGCAAACTGGGTCGAGAAGACCATCCAATACCGTAAGTGGATGCCAAGGAGGCTTCATACCAACCAAAAGAAAACAACTTTAAAGGGCTTCTGGTTTGTTTTGTGATGAGGTTGAGGGACGGGGTAGATTACACGGTTCAGTGGCGTGTTTTGCCAAGGATCCGAAAGACACACATTTTCTGTGTAAGTTGAAGAGGTTGACGCACTTTTGAGATGGCCAAAGAAAAAATTGCGATATTCTCCCTGCTCGAAAAACACTTTGGGCGAAAACAAGCGATTCAGCCACACAGCGTTTATTAAGCGTTCCAAGAAAAAAGAAAAGAGGGAGGAAAAGAAAATAAACTTATTTTCCTGAAGACGGGTAAACAGTCTTTGATATTTTTCCAGTACGCAATGAAGAAAGAGGCTCATTGTTTGGGCAAGCCAGCTCTTATCTCGGCTGTTTTCAGAGGATGGTGGATTGCCGCGGCCTTCGAGTTTGTCAACTGCAGCGCAGCTATAAAATGGAGGATGGAATTTTTACCCGTAAAACCTTTTGGAGCAAAGCAATTTGCACGGCTGTCCTGGGCAGCAAGAGGAATGCAAGGGTGCAGTGGCTTGCACATCAAAGGCGGCTCGATAGGCGCACTAGTGAATGAGCCCTTTTCACCCAATATTAGAGTGACGTAAAATAAGAGGACAAAAAAAAAACAAAAAAACAACAACAAAACAATGAGGACCTTTCTAATAGGATTAGGCTTAGCTCTTTTCCTAACGATTAAACTGTGTTTGAATAATATTTGCTTAATTTGCAAAGGTGGGTCTAAGTGCAGAGAGCAGATGCCTATTTGGCTTAGAAACTGATTGTATATTTGTGCGGAATATCTATTGTAGGTAAAATGGAATGAATAATTGAATTTAAATATAGCGAAGCAATTTTGTAAATTGGTTAGTTGTTATTCAGATTAGGTATTTTAAAGGCTCAACAAAACGACCGAAAGTACAGGGTGTCACAAAAGAAAATTTACGCGGTCTTTTTTACCGCAAAAATAAACTAGGCATAGCCGAACGCTCATTCTCCGCCCAAAGGTAGAGTTAGAGGTCACAACCGAATGCCAAATTTTCAGCCCGATCCAATAAGTTAATCAAAAGTCATAAGCGAATTTCTGAAAATTTTAATGGTAAAATGGAGCCTATTTTTGCCCGTTTTCGGTTTCTGGTGCCATAGAGCCCCATGTGTTTTAAAACTCCGTCGGCCGCCATTTTCCCATTGAAATTTTCAGAAAATCACTTATAACTTTTGATTAAGTAATCGGATCGGGCTTAAACTTTGGCATCTGGCTGTGACCTCTAGCTCTAGGCTTTGGGCGGAGAATGAGCGTTCGACGATGCCTAGTTTATTTTTGCGGTAAAAAAGACCGCGTAAATTTTCTTTTGTGACACCCTGTATATGAAGAAATGGCGAAAACGAAGGTGAGCCGGCGGAGATCGAACATGCGAGTCTAAAACTGGAAGTCATAGAAGAGAATATAATGCGTACTTTGCGCGTGTTTTTTTTTTTATTATTCTAGAGTTTTAGACTCAAGTTCTTTTAAAATATGTAACCAGTCTCGAGAAAATCGAGTGTAAATGATTAGCGAAGTAAACCCAAGTATCGTAGTTCTTTAGATCAAACTTTGATTTCTGTCTGGGAATTTAGGGTATTAAAATAACACAGAAAACCGCCGAATACAATGTGAAGCCAAACTTGACCTCTTTGGCCAGAGTATAATAATCTAGGCCCTAATTCGCCAACCAGTGCGAACGTTTAGCTGCAGTTGTGGTAACTTGGCTGTCAACCGGCATTTTTGGGCCGGAATCGCGAAGCAAAGGATAGAGTTAAGCTTCGTTGCTGGTTCTCCGGGTTGCACGAGGGCATCTAGCGGAAATCTGACACTTGGATAGTTGGGTGGCGAGCTAGAAAAATGCCGCAGAGACTAAAGAAAAAACAAAAGCACTTTGTCACTACCGGAAACCTTAGAGCAAAACCGTATCAGGCCCAAATTAGGCCCCATAGGATAGCGAAGCTTGTGCCAAGTTAGGCATTTCTCTAACGTGCTACCTGGGTATATAGCATACGTTGCGAGGAAGATATGGCACGTCTTTGCGTCAGTGTAGTTACTCGCATTTAGCCTTAAATCAAGCATCATCGTTCCTTATTAGGAATATATTTTATAACTTGAATGTTACTAAAGTACAGAGTGTTGGGATATTTTTTTTTTACCAAAGAATATAAGCCAAATATTAACGAAAGAAAACGAAATTCGAACCAAATGAAACAAAACTGAAAAGAAAATGTGCAGCGGACTCGTTATTTCTTCAAGGTGCTATTTGCGGAGGATCGCAGACAAGAAACCAGCACCAAACTGCAGTGCATTAAAAAAAAACTTGCGTTAAAATTTTGAGAAAATACAACGCTCCACCGCTCAGCAATTATGCACAGAGTGCTTTACTTGTTCACCGCTGTATTCCCACGACGATCCCATACCGAGGGAACGAGCATTGTGAAATGCCACAAACTTCTCTACGACTCGCAAGTACTCCTACGGTTCCAGGACGACACAGGCGCACAGAAGCACCGGCCGTAGACTAATCAAGCGCGGAGCGTTTTCCCGGCCGCAGGAGCGAACTCGTCCAGGGATGAACGCGCTGCAATCCTCGGAAGCCGGGCCCGGCCTTCCAGAGAGATTCGTACACGTCGAGCCACTGCAACGCTGCCGGCTCCTCCTATCCGGGAAAATAACATAAAATCCCCAAGCGTAGAAACCCGGACACAAAAAGCAAAAAGCAAAAACAAAACGGCGGCAAAGTGTACACCCTGTCAATTCCATGCACACAGTCACACCCGAGCGCGCACGCAAGGCGAGCGTGGATGTGCTGGAAACAAATCTACCAAATGAATCCCGAAGGGCCGGCGCTCGCGGCAGCCACTACTGCAGTATACCGCGCTGCAGTTCTCTCGTAAGTACTCGGAAAAGAGCATCGCCGTTTCACTCGCGCGAGAGCATGATCAAGAGACGCGCGCGCGTCGTTCCTCTAGCGGCTTTTGCTGATTTAGTTGCACTCTGTCCGCTGCAACGCTGCTTCGCTCCGCTTGCCGGCCACAACTGCGGCAATAACCCCCTCCCGGTGTGGCGCTCTCCGCCCGTGATGTAGGGTTCTGCCGGCCGTCCTTTCTCGTACTGTGTAGGCCCCGTAGCGATCCGATCTTTCCTCCCCTTCTCTGCGGGTTGTCTTCCTCACGAGCTATTATATACCGCGGCGCGCAGAAATTCCGCCGGGTAAGATCTAGGGCGGAAATGTTCCTTTTGTGTTACTCTTTTTCTTCGAAGCACACCGAAATTGCTCTATAACTTGAGAGAGTGGCGGCGTAAAACCAACTCTCCCGGCCGGAGGTTCCGCTCTCCCGTCTCCTACACTCTGTTCGGGCCCCGAATCTCGGAGCCTGTGATGTTTTTCATGCTTCCGTATAGATTTTAGTGGGGGCGCGCTTCCACGGGGTTTTCCCTAGAGTGTGGTACAGGTCGAGACAACTGCACATCGAGACACGGTTTGGCTGCGGTCATTTCAGAGGCGGTTTAGGACACGAGTTTCCGTTGGCGCGTGTCGCTATGAATGGGACTCAGTTTTTGCGGAGAGGCAGCACCGTCTCGAATCCGCGCTTTCCGCTCTTCAGTTCGAGGCTGGGAACTGTTTTGAGCGAAGGGGAGCCCCCGTCGGAGACAGCCGAGGGGAAATAACGAAGTGAGGAACTTATTTCCTTTAGAGCCGCCGAGTTGTTTGCTCTTTCCGACTCCATCTTCTTATTTATTTATCTTTTTCGAGTTTGTCGACGCAGTCCTTGTATTGGTTTTTGTCTAAGAGAATGCGGCACACTCGCATTTGTGCGCCCGGAATGAGTTTCGCTTTAGAGGGACGAGGGTTGTTTGGAAGACACAGGGCTGCTGGTGTAGTTGCGCCTCTAGCCGAAGTGCGGATTGCTTCGGGTAAACAAGGAACCGTGTGGGATCCACTTCTTGTGTCGCTTGACGACAGTCAAGCGACAATTTTGTCCTGCTTTTTTTTTTTTTCTGGAGGCGGGGAGGGAGTTTGAGATTGTTTGTTTAGCCCTTTGAGATACTCTTGTTTTACAATTTTGAACAACAAGAGCCCGCTTAGGCGTAGCTGACAAGATTATTTTT